CCTCTCTGTCCAAGGACTTATTTTTCTCTCTCTCTGGCCTGGGATTCACCCTATCCCTTTAATTAAGATTTCAGGGTTTGCTCTCTTGCTCTTCATTCAAGGATTTTTATTCCTCTCTAACCTAGGAATATTCTCTCTCTCTAAATCCTGTGATTTCAGTGGTTCTCCCTTTATCTCACCATCTCAGATTCCTCACTCTCAGTCACTGAAGTTTTCTCTCTCCCTATCCTGGATATTTTCTCTCTCTCTTTCTCTCTCCATTTCATGATTTCTCTCCTTCTATAATCCCAGGATTGCTCTTTCTTTACCTTGTGACTTATCTTTCCATCTGGGGATATCTCTATCTCTCTATCCTAGGATATCTCCCTCGCTAACTCTCATTGTTCAATGATATCTCTATGTCCCAGGATTCCTCTCTTCCTCTTTATCTGGACCCCAGGCTAATGTCCTGGAGAATCCTATTTGAATTTCTTCATGACAGATGGTATAATCTGAATTCAATAGAAATCTTGAACAAAAATCTAGCTGATAGTGACCATGTAACCACTTGTAAACAATTGTACTGGTTCACGCTTGTCCTTTACGAAGGGATATCTGCCATCCTGACTTGGTCTGATCTAAAGTGACTCCAAACCAACAACAAGGTGGTTGACTCTTAACTGCCCTCTGGGCAACTGGGGATGGGCAATAAATGCTGGCCTAGCCAGCAACACAAATATCCCATACAAGAATCAAAGTCAATTCACTATCCTGGGATCTTTCTCTCTGTCTCTCTCTCTCTGTTCAGGGATTTTTCTCCAGCTACCCTGGATTCCTCTCTCTCCACATCACATGATTATTTTCTCTGCTTTTGCTCTCTTTATGCATCCCAAAGTTTCTCTTAATCGCCCTTGAAATTTATCTTTTATCTATCCTGGGATTTCTCTCTCTCTCTCTTTCTGCTGGAAGTTTTCCTTCATTCCTGGGATTTTTCCTCTCTCTATCTCTACCCCTTCTCTTGGGTGAGTTCTCTCTCCATCACTCTCTATCCGATGATTTCACTTTTTCTTTATCCCAGGATTTCTATCTCATTCCCTCTCTCTATAAATTTATATATACCTGGATTTCACACTCCCTTTATTCTGCAATTTCTTTCTCTGTCTCTCTATCCTATGATTTTTTTTCTCTATCCCAAGATTTTTCTCCAACTTTATACAGGGATTCCTCTCAATCTCAATCCCATAATTTCTATCTCTCTCCACTTTCTATCACATGTTTTCACTCTCACTCTATACTGAGATTTCTCTCTCTATCTCAGGAATTCTCTCTTGCTCTCTGTCTCCCATGATTTCACTTTCGGGTTATCCTGAGATTTCACTCTCAAGCCTGGGACTTTTCTCTCACTCTCTCTATTCAGGGTTTCCTCTTCCTCTCTTTCTCTATCCCAGGATTTCTGTCTCTCTTTATCCCAGGACTTTACTATCCCACAATTTCCCTCTCACTCTTAGCTGGGCTCTCTTTCTCTATCTTGGAATTTTCTATACCCCCATCCAAGGACTGTACTGTCTCTCTCCCTTTAATCAAAGTTTTCTCTTTTTCTCAATTTCAAAAGTCTCTTGCTCCCTATCGAAACACTGAAACGTAGAAACTAGGAGCAGGAGTAGCCCATTCATCCCATCAATATGTTCCAATATGTTCAGCTCCAATATGTTCAGCGACCCAACTCAGTATTCTGTTCCCACTTTCTCCCCATATCATTGGGATGCACAGTACAGAAAAAGGCCCTTCCATCCATCAATTCTGCACTGATCACATAAAAAGCCACCTAACTATTCTAAGAGATAGCAAGAACTGCCGATGCTGGAGTTAGAGATAACACAGTGTGGAGCTGGAGGAACACAGCAGGCCAGGCAGCATCAGAGGAGTGGGAGAGTCAATGTTTTAGGTCAGGATTTTCTGAAGAAGGGTGCAAACATGAAATGTCAACTTTCCTGCTCCTCGATGCTACCTGGCCTACTGTGCTCCTCCAGCTCCACACTGTGTTACCTAACTATTCTAATACCGTTTTCCAGTGCTTGGACCAGAGGCCATAAGCCTTGGCATTACTTGAGTACATCTAAATACTTAGAATCATAGCATCATGGAACTTTACAGAAAAGAAGGAGGCCATTCGACCCAACGTGTCTGTACTGGCTCCTGAAACAGTTACCCAGCCAGTGTCACTCTCCTGCCCTATCTCCATAGGCCTCTAAAGAACAAAGAAAATTACAGCACAGGAACAGGCCCTTCAGCCCTTCAAGCCTGCGCTGATCCAGATCCTCTATCTAAACCTGTCACCTATTTTACAAGGATCTGTATCCCTCTGCTCCCTGCCCATTCATGTATCTGTCTAGGTACATCTTAAATGATGCTATCGTGCCCCCCTCTACCCCCTCCGCTGGCAACACGTTCCAGGCACACCACCCTCTGCATAAAGAACTTTCCACACATATCTCCCTTAAACTTTTCCCCTCTCGCCTTGAAATTGTGAACCCTAGTAATTAGGTCCCCCACTCTGGGAAAAAGCTTCTTGCTATACACCCTGTCTATACATCTCATGATTTTGTAGACCTCAATCAGGTCCCCCCTCAACCTCCGTCTTTCTAATGTAAATAATCCTAATCTACTCAACCTCTCTTCATAGCTAGCGCCCTCCATACCAGGCAACATCCTGGTGAACCTCCTCTGCACCCTCTCCAAAGCATCCACATCCTTTTGGTAATGTGGCAACCAGAACTGTACACAGTATTCCAAATGTGGTCGAACCAAAGTCCTATACAACTGTAACATGACCTGCCAACTCTTGTACTCAATACCCAGTCTGATGAATGAAAGCATGCCGTATGCCTTCTTGACCACAACCCTTTCAAACTTCAACCCTTTCAAATATATATCCAGCTCCCTTTTGAAACCTCCTGTGGAATCCACCTCCCCAACTCTCCCAGGCAGCACATTCCAAATCCTAACAACTGTCTGAGTAAAGGGGTTTCTCCTCATCTCACTCCTAGCTCTCTCGCTGATAATCTTGAAAATGTGACCCCTGACATACAAAACTAGTCGAAATACAATATCCTTCTTTACCCTGTCAATACGGTTCATAATTTTGAATACTTCAGTCAGGTCACCTCTTAATCTTCTCTGTTCCAACGAGAATAAGCCCAATCTTTCTAATTTTTCCCTGTATCTAAAATCCCTCATTCCTGGTAAATCTGCTTTGAACTCCCTGCAGGGCTTTAACATCCTTCTTTAAACAAGGTGCACAGAACTGAACACAATACTCCAAATTTGGTGTGACCAATGATTTGTAGAGGTGTAGCATCACTTCCTTGCTTTTATACTCATTGTCTCTATTTATAAACCCAAGAATCCTATAAACCTTCTTAACAACTATTTCAACTTGCCCAGCCACCCTCAGAGAATCAGTGAACCCCGAGGTCCCTCTGCTCCTGCATTCCCCACAAAGTTGTACCATTGAGCCTGTATTGTCTCTGTGTTTCTTCTACCAGAATGCATTATCTCATGTTTCTCTGCACTGAAATTCATCTGCCAGGTTCTGCCCATTTGACCAACTTGTCAATGTCCCTCTGAAATCACTCAGCATCAGCCTCACAGTTCACTCTTCTCCATAACTTAGTATCATCTGCAAGTTTAGAGATTTTGTCCTCAACACCCACCTCCAAATCATTTATATCAATCAGATAAAGCAAGGGTCTCAACCCTGATCCTTGGGGAACACCACTTTCAACTTATCTCCAATCTGAGAAATGTCCATCTATACCTACCCTCTGTTTTTGATCCTTTAGCCAACTTCTAATCCGTGCTGCCAAGGACCCACTAATCCCAAACATTTCTAATTTGCTAACCAACCTGCCGTGTGGCACTGTATCACGTGCTTTCTGAAAGTGCAAATATACAACGCCCACAGCACCACCCTCATCCACTGCCTGTGTCACCTCATCAAAGGACTCAATTAACTTAGTCAGACATGACCTGCCCTTGACAAAGCCATGCTAACTGGCTAGTATTAATTTATTTTTCCCTAATTGTATACTTATCTTATCCCATACTATGGGCTCCATCGGTTTTCCCAATATTGATGTCAAACTGTCAGCTCTGTCATTTCCCAGGTTATCCTTTGTCCCTTTCTTAAACAACAGAGTCCTATTCACAACTTTCCAGGCCCCCGGAATAATCCTGTGTTCA